AAGGTACTTAGTCTATTGATGGGCATCTTGTGATTTTTGTTACTATGTTACCGCAAATGCTGTTGAGTGATATATCTTCTTGAGCCTCAACATACTTTTTTTGTTTTCTTCCTTTCTCTCAGGTAGTAGTTAAGGAAATGGGCTTTGGAGTCAAGATACTAGAATTCACATCACCATGACTGCTTCTAAGTTGTGGAACTTTGATGAGTTCAACTTTTCTAAGCCATAGTTTCCTTCGTGCAAATGATAATAACAACAGAATCTACCTCAAAGAACAACCACGAGAGGGAAATAATCTAACAGGTCTTTTGCACTAAGCAGAAAGAGTTTCTAAGTTGTTTTTTTTTTTTTTTTTTAGTGGGGAGGGAAATGGTGTTGGAGCTTGAACTAAGGGCCTTAGCTTGCTCAGCTGGTACTTTACCACTTAAGCCACACCTCCATCCCTACTATTTGCTAGTTAGTTATTTTGGAGATGGAGTCTAGTAAACTTTTCTGCCTGGCTGTCCTTGAACCATAATCGTCTAGATCTCAGTTTCAGGGATACGATTACACATGTGAGTCACTAGTTTCTAGCTGCAGTCAAGACTGAATTCTCTGTGTCAAATACCATTGCCATCCACAGAGTTTTGACCTTAAATTTTTCTTTGGGGGAGGGGGGAAGGGAATGAGTTGGTGGAAAAGGTTGATGAAGAGAAAATTGTATTTATACAAAAGAGTATTAATTAAAAATTTATCTTCAGTGCTGTTTATATTGGAACATTAGAATAAAATCTTTTATCATGGAAATAACCCACCCTATCTCCTCTAGATTTTACATGTCTTCCTGCTTTCCAACTTAAATAAGGCAATTGCTTATTTCTAGAAATAGTGCTGTTTTAATCTGAGTATAAGTCAGACAAATGCCACCCAGCTTGTTTGAACGAGTTTCTGTGAGTTTGCACTTCTCAGGACCTGAATCATTAGGAGAGAAATCTTAACATCTTTCTAATGCTCTCTGTTGAGCCATACCACACAAGAGTACTTAATGCTGTCCAACAACAAATGGCCAAGGAAAGGGAAATAATCACTGCCTTGTCGTGGTGTGGGTGGGAACAGCAGAAGTTAAATAGTATGTCACTCCTTAGGAAGGATAAGGTTGTAAAGCAAAAAAGCAGAGCATGAAAACAAAATAAACAATCCCAAATTTTACGTAGCATTTTAAGATGAAAATGAAAAGATGCAGAACTAATGAAAGGGTCTGGGGACGAATGAAGCAGCCCCTTTTGTTCTAATGAAACAACAAGCATCTTGATTAAAAGATAAAAGACATTTGAACTTTAAAAGTGATGGGGTTTAATGGGTGTTGGTGGCTCACACCTATAATCCTAGCTTACTCAGCAGTCTGCCCAGGCAGAAAAGTCGATGAGACCCTTGTCTCCAGTTAGCCAGCAAAAAGCTAGAAATGGAACTGTGGTTCAAGTGATAGAGCTCTAGTCCTGAGTAAAAAAGCTAAAGAACATGCCCTGATTTCAAGTTCTAGTATCATCATTAAAAAATGTTATAATGTTGCTTAAGATAAAAGAGGATGCTTGAACTGAACTGTCGCAGATGATATTCAATGACAAAAGTATTGGGGCTGGGAATGTGGCTCAGTGGTTAGTGCTTGCCTAGCATGCATGAAGCCCTGGGTTTAATTCCTCAGTACCACAGACACAGAAAAAGCCAGAAATGGCACTGTGGCTCAAGTGGTAGAGTGCTAGCCTTGAGCCACAGAAGCTCAGTGACAGTGCCCAGGCCCTGAGTTCAAGCTCAGGACTGGCAAATGAACAAACATCTCCCCCCCTCCCCCCCCAAAAAAAAAGTATTGTCCCTTGAATCTCCAGATCCTAACCCTCAATTTTAACCATTTCTGTTTTCAATTTTTTAATTTCTCCATCAACTCTGCTTGTACTTCTGGGTTTAAACAATACCCAGAGCTTCCTTGATATAACAGGAGAGGACTTAACCCCCAAAAGATATTTAATATTTATTCCTTTGCTGCCTTCTTCCTTCTCTTCCTCCTCCTCCTCTTCCTTCTCTTCCTCTTCCTCCTCTTCCTCCTCCTCTTCTTCCTTTTCCTTCTTCCTTCTTTCCTTCTTTCTTCTTTTTCTTCCTTCCTTCCTTCTTCTTCTTCTTTCTTTCTTTCTTTTTCTTTCTTTCTCTTCTTTCCTTCTCCAGTCCTGAGGCTTGAAATCTGGGTTTTTAGGTTTTTGTTTTGTTTTTTGAGGTAAGAGTCTCAAGGACTTTCCTTCTTGGGCTAACTTTCAACCTCAATCTTTAGATCTCAGCCTCCTGAGGAACTAGGGTTACAGGTGTGAGCCACCAGTGCCCAGTTCTTTCCTTGATCAAAAAAAAAATTGTAGTATGGCTTTTATTTGTTGGTTATTTAAATTAATTAACTTGTTTTTGGCACTTTTGGGAGTTGAATCCAGAGCCTTATGATTGCTAGACAGATGATTTACTGATTGAGCCCTGCCCAAGCCCTTTTTGTATTAGCTATTTTTCAGATAGGGTCTTCCATTTTTGTTCTCCCTACCTGTGTCTCCCATGTATCTGGGATAACAGGGGTATGCATGCCACCACACCTGGCTTATTTGTTGAGATGCAGTCTCCATAACTTTTTTTGCCTATATTGGCCTTGAACTGTGACCCTCTAAATCTCCACCTCCCAAATAGCGGGGATTACAGATGTGAGCCACAGCACCTGGCCTGTTCGATGGTTATTTTAAAATAGCATGTGTTATACTTAACCTTCCAGTTAGTAAATTAGCTTCTTTATTGCCTTCTGTGTCTTTCTTCCTGATTTGGTTTCTGAATTCCTATCATCCATACCATTTAATTTCACACTGTGAAGGTTTAGAACATTGACGTTTTATTTTGTAGCCATGGCAAATTGTAATCTCCTCCAGGTTTTGGCTGCAGATTGATACTGAACATTGCAAAACAATAAATAATGTTCATAGTACTGTGATTTTTCAAATTCCTTGGAAAATCTTTCAAGTCTGTGGCTTTGGAGAACTGAAATGACTGATTCTGGACCCTCTTTTTTTTTGGTTAACTTTATCACTATTATATGTGTTGCTACTCCACAAATACATTCATTTTTGTCAGACAATATGTCCCGATTTTCATTTGAAAACCATCATTGCTCCAACCACAGCTCACCCTGTGAAGGCTCAAGGGTGCTGTGAAGTGATTCCAGAATTTTCTTTGGGGTTGGACTACCTCCAGTGGAACTGTTGTAATGGCTGTTGGTGGAGAATAGTTGACTTTGGCTTGCACTGTCGCTTTAACTTGAGAGAACGTTTGCGAAGTTTAGAAGGTTCTAGTATCTGTCCCACTCACTCCCACCCCCAACCCTCTCCTCTGTTTTCTCCTCTTTCTTCCCTTTCTGAAAAGGAAGTTCTGGATATTTGAAATTTGAGACATTTGTTACAGAAGGGACAAGTTTTGAGAGCCAGAATTCTTAATAAAGTCTTTAACCTTTCTGGTTACTTAAGCTGAGTCAGAAAATGAGTTAGAATGTAGGTCAGAAGATGATTTTGTTTACTTTTTGTGCTAGGGGGGATGTTGAACCCAGGGCCTTAGGAATTCTAGGCAAGCATTTTACCACTGGGCTGCATTCCCAGCCCCAGATGATTTTTGTCATGATAATAATGCCACATTGCACTTCCATTGTCTTGTGCCCAGTGTCTTATCATATATATGCATATATACACCTATTATGATATAGGCAAGGTAAATATTATGCCAGTGTGCACAGAGAATGAATCAGGTGATAGAGGGGCATATAGTCAAGTGTATAGTCACTTCCCCTCTGACCTGGGAAAAGTACTGAAAGACAGGGTACAGAGTGAGAATCCTTTTCCTGGCCCATCCATCTTTCTCCCTAGTTATGCTCTTCCCTTCAGCCTCAGTTAAGTCTGAAGCACAGATTGCACACTGGAGAACATCCCTAAAATCTCTGGGACTATGCAAAGACTTCACTTGCTTCCCACTTCTGCTCGAGATTGAGAGTCTGAAAGGGCTTGCAGGCGGGCCTCGTGCTGTTTGCTTGGGTCTGCATGTAGACTGAGGATGTGTAGGTGTGTGTGGGCGCATCCCAACTGAGACATGCATTTTAGCCATGTTTAAGACTTGAGCTGGTGTTCATAATAGAAATCCTTGGAATAGCTGTGGTTTGTGACATTGATTGGAAAACATTTGACCTTCTTTCCCAGTCCCTAAACTCCAACTTAGCATCCACACATAGGCTCAGAAAGGAGTGAATAGTTTCTTATGGGTCTCTGCATTCATTCCATCTGGTCTTAACGTTCCAGGGCTGGAGCAGCTAGATCTTTATCCATTTGCTCTCTGAAGATGCTGAATGTGGGTCATCTGGATTCTCAGTGGAGGCTTTGCTCCAAGATACATGGCGATAAATTATTCAGAAACAAGAAACACGGTGCCGTTGGCTTCATTTGCTCCTAAATGCTTGTGTCTGTGGTGTTCCCAAACTTGCTAAAGAGATATTTAAGTGTCTTTGGCCTTTATTTCTCTTAACCTGTATTAGAGTTTGCAATTCTGTATTTTGGATGAAAAGAAGAATGTGGTAACATTTTAGAGGTGAGCTGAGCCATAGGAAAAAGTATACCCAATTTTAGAGTAGGTACTTGTAACATTACACATAATGGATTTAACTCTGACTTTTTAAACCAGACCAGTAGACAATTCATCATTAAAATTAGACAATATGGCTTCATGAAAATTTTCCATCTGTATCTTAAGGGTTTGTGACTTTGGTTTTTTTTGGTTTTTTAAATATGCTCTGAGGGCCTATCTCCATTGGTATCAATAGGTTACAATGTTGAAAACTGCTAAGTTAACATTGGATTCCCTGATTTTACTTTTCATTGTTTTCCAAGGTTCATTTGCTTTGTAACTTAGGATTTTTTTGAAAAAAAAATTTAAGACAAAATGGAATTCTGTATATTTTATTTCAGACCCAATGTCTGTGGATCACGTTATAATGCTTACTGTTGTCCTGGATGGAAAACCTTACCTGGTGGAAATCAGTGCATTGTCCGTAAGTAAATAGATCACCTTTCATTCCGCATGTTTGTTTTGTTGGCATGATGACCCTTAGAATTTGATCCTTTGTAACTAAATGCCAGTAGTCTTAAATAGTTGAACCTTCCAGTTCTTAAGATTTTCCCGAACTCACTTTGGGAACATTGAACTTCATGAAAGCACTGTCATAGATTGATTGAGTGATTTCCTTTAGACTATTCCTGAGATACTGAAAAATAGAACCACAGTGGATACTGTGATCCACATAGTATGATATTTGTATATGTTAACCCTCTGATTAACATATGGTGGTCACTGGGAAGGGATCTTGAGGAAAAGGGTATCGTTGCTGAATTCCTTATTATAATTTTTAACTTTGTCGGCCACAGCAGTCCACAGGCCTCCCCAAATCATTGAAATTGGGTGGCAAGAACCAAAAAGCTTTAGACAAAGGGGATAGGAATGGGTTTATTTGACGATCAAAACTAAACCAACGATGGTATTTAGCATTTTGTAGATGATTTCGACAATGGAACTCTTCCCCTGGGTCCTGTAGAATTCTCCGAGAAATGTTATTTTCAAGCACTAAAATAAATGTTTATAGGAGTCTTTGACAGCTTCTTGAGTAATAGTTTCCCATCTCTGTCCTAAGCTCTTTTAATGTTCTAATGCCCATTTTATTCAGTGTGGTATTTTAGCTTTTTGCACTATGCTTGTCTCTAATCTATTCTGCAAGAGTTTGAGGAAATGAACACACCAACAACATAGAAAGGATTGATCCAGTGTTGATGAGTGAATTGTTATTCAATTTACTCTCATTAGGCTGTCATTGAAGCATCTGACACATTTACGGCCATAGGCTCTGGGTGGTATGAAAGTTCATCTCTCTCTAACAGGTGAATGGCTTCCTGACTGTAAAATTGCTACCCAGGTCACTGGATTCTAGATTCTTCCCTCATGCTGTCAATATAATTCAGAACATGTCCAATAAAGAACATTGCTGCCTACTTTTTTTTTCATCATCAAATAATGAAACGGATAGAAAAACAGTTCTTTGTAAGGATGTTTAGCGGCAAGATTTTAATTTGTGTTGTTTTCCTTTCTTACTTGTCTTGGGATTTTGCTAAATGGAATGCTATGAATAAGCAGAGAGAGACTGAGGACTCCTGATAGGTATGCATCAGAGAGTTACTGAACTTAGAGTCAAAGCTTGTGTTGTCCAGCAGACTTGCTTTGTGAATGAATACACCTGAGATTGAATAAGTCATGATGACCAGGTCAATGAGAGGCCTGAGGGGCCAGGTGTCCCTCCTTGGAGGGCTGGATCCTGAGAGCTGACCGCGAGCTGAATCCGTGTGCATTTATCCACAGCCATTTGCCGGCATTCCTGTGGGGATGGATTCTGTTCCAGGCCGAATATGTGCACTTGCCCATCTGGTCAGATATCTCCTTCCTGTGGCTCCCGATCCAGTGAGTGTAACATGTCATTATATATAATATTATTTTATGTGGTTATGCCCTATTTTCTCCTAAATTTGCTTTTTGGCTTTTCTCTTTGCCTGCAGTACATTTCCCCCCTCCTCCCCTCCAGACCATCTGCCTTCTCCGCTCTGCCCAAAATACTTGGAAAGTCTTTCCTCAATCTAGCTTCCCATTTTCCTTCTTCACTTTTCACTGGAAAATAGTTACTAGGAACCACATAAAGATTATGGCCTTCTATGTTGGCATTGCCTTTTTCACCTCTGTATCATCATTGTAAATACCTTAAAAGGTGCCCCACGAAATGACTGGGTAATGAACATTTTTGGCTCAAGAAGAGCAGGTGTTTCTGCTTTGTGGTACTGACCTATGAAGCTGATTAACATCTGATTTGTCTCAAAACATTCGCATTTCCAAGAAGAAAGTGGAAGAAGTCATTTTGGAAGTTTCGGGGCCTTATCATAAAGCACATAGATGGTGTTTATTTTACATATCCACAGTTCATTCTAAAGGGCCTCTGCTTTCTAGATTTCTGGATTCATTCTCTCACTCTTCCCCCCTTTTTCTCCCCCCTTCCCCTCCTTCCCTCCTCTCTCCCCTCTCTTTCTTCTTTCCATTCTCTCTTCCCTCCCTCTCCCCTCTTCTCTCTTTCCCCTCTGTGTCTCTCCCCTCTGTCTCTTTCCCCTCTCTCTCTCTCTCCTCTCACTCTCTTCTTTCTCCCTTCTGTCTCTCCTCCCCTCTCTCCCCTTTCTTATTTCTCACCCCTTCTCTCTTCCCTCTCTCTCCTCTTTCATCTCTGTCTTATCTCTCTCTGTCTTCTTTATATGTGTTGTCCACCACAGTGAATTAGGGAAATGTGAGGGCTGTTGAAGTGAATTGTCATTTGTTTAAAAAGTTGAAGTTCATGTTGGTATAAACAGCCCTCAACATCTCAACTATTACAAAGGCTAAAAAGAATATAGTTTTCTGTTTCATTTCTAAGTTCTGGTGAGAAAATACACCCTCCCCCCTTAAAATACTATTTTTTATACAACATTTTAAGAAAAAAGGTTATATTTTCTTGTGTCTATTGCAAGTAGAGATTTACGGGTGTCAAGGTGCATTGGAGAGTGTTATCATTGTGACTCTCAAAGTCATTTGACAGGCAAGAGCAGGTTGTCTTGCATGGAAGACCTTTTTTGTGTCCACTCATTTTCCTTGATGGTTACAAGTCTTGCTGCCTGAGACCTTAGTCAGATTTCTGTGGCCAGAGATTGTGCTGTGTCTTATGTAGAAGGCAAATAGGAAGTGCTGAAGGGGCGAGTGGACCTAGAAAGAAGCCATTTTTAACCAACGATAGAGCATTGTTGGACACATTCCATATGCCTTGCCTTTCAGTTTGGGTAACTGAGAATTCTGTTTCCCAGGATTCCCCATTGAGCCCTTCTTGCCCTCCATAAGAGTAGGTTGAGTGTGTATTTTGCTTCTTTCTTGACCCTGTCTCATTCTGCAAACATCTGCCACCTCAAGTTACTTCCAAAGCAGATGATATCTGCTAAAATTTTGTTTCAGAATCTGCTTTTTATGCCCAATAGTCAGTTGTAGATTAGGATAGCCCCGTGGGCTGGGGATTCCAGCTCTTTCAGCTGAATGTTACATATTCAACTTGGTCTAAATATGTGGCCTCTATGTGACAGCAGATTCGTTCCATAGAGCACAGACCAATAGAAAGAGCCAGAGAAGTCACCTCTATCTCTTATTAGGAAAACTCCAGATTACCACTAGGGGGCAACAGTCTCAGGGGTGGGAAATAAGTATAGAATGAAGTTGATAATAGAGCCCATCCTTCAATTGGTCCTTAAACAACTTGGGTATATAGCCTGGAGTGATAGCATGAACTACTCCTATAAAAAAAATCATGACATGTTAAATCTCAAGAGGAAAGCTGAAATCTTGCTACATGGTACATCAAGCTAGTCACAGAATGGGAGGGGTATAGTAGTTAGGTCTTAAGGCCAGATTTAGGCTAGAGACTGAAGTCCAAGACTTGTGGGTAGTGTGCTCTGAAAAAGATTGATTCTCCTCTTTATACCTGGACAGTGAACAAAACCCCCAAACAGCTTGTAGATAAGAATGGTGTAGCTGGGGGCCAACTCAGGAGGCCAAGATCTGAAGATCCCAGTTTGAAGCCAGCTGGAGCAGGAAAGTCTGTGAGACTCTTATCTCCAGTAAGCTACTCAGAAAAAGCCAAAAGTGTAGCTGTGGCTCAAGTGGTAGAGTGTTAGCCTTGAGAAAAAGAAATTCAGGGACAGTGCCCAGGCCCTGGGTTCAAGCCCCAGGATGAGAGAGGGGGGAGAGGAGGGAGAGAAGGAGTGGGAAGGAAAGGGGTAGAAGGAGAGAGAGGGAGAGAGAGAGAGAGAGAGAAAGAGAGAGAGAGAAAGAGAGAAAATGAGAGAAATGGTATAAAGAGGATGTGGTTTCACCAAGATCTTTGAGGTATTTGGAATATTAAAATTGCTAACTCAGACATCCCTTGAACTAATATTATTGAAAACGTTTTGCAGAATTAAAAATAGTGGAATTTTAAAAATTAAGGAGAGCTGAGGAAGCATTTCTATCCCTGATATCATTGAATGTTTTCTGGACTTTTCCCAGCTCAGCTAGCTTTTTATTTTTATTTTTTTTGAGATGCATTAGTGATATTATTCTTCTAAGCTGAGTATCTGTAGGCACCACAGGACATTTTATGCCCCTCCGGGAAATCCATGGCTATTATCTCTCTAAATGAGAATTGTTTTTGTCCTACAGTGACTCTGGCTGCTCCCTGCGGATTGTTGTCTCAGGTGGGGAGACCAGGAGTTGGTCTGGCTGTTTATCTGTCTGTGCTTTTCCTAGTGCTGAAACCAAAACATGCACTCACCAAACAGATGCTTATTCAAAAGTGCTGCCAGTACTCTTTTCTGCCAGCTGTACCTGGCGGGAGGATGGCTGGTCCTTAGAATCCTTGCAGACCTAGAGCTTCCCAGAGAACCATTGCCTGAGGTATTAAGACCCAAGTGCCAGTCCTGCTTCTCTGCTTCCCTATGGTAGGCTTGTGTCATTTCTTCTGGTTAGTGATTTTAAGAAACTAAACTAAAGGAAGTTTTAATTCTACTCTCTTCTGCCTGGCTGGTGGAAGCTGTTCAGTCAGTATAACTTGTTGAATTACCAAAACAACTGACTGATATCTGAAATGAACCTAAAATTAATTTGTAATCTTTTGCAGATGTAGAGAAATAGCAGCATTTTCTGCTAGTTCTAGAATATTGAGTCTTTCATGAAATTATGATTATTTTTCCTTGCACTGGAGCTTGACCTCAGGGCCTCTTGCTCTTTGCTTAGTGTTTTTTTTGTTTGTTTGTTTGTTTTTTAACTCAACCTGGCTCTCTACCTGTTGAGCCACAGCTTCACAGTCTAGCTTTCTGGTGGTTTGTTAAAGAGCCTCATAGCCTTTTCTGCATGGGCTGGCTTCAAACGTTGATCCTCAGATCTCAGCCTCCTGAGTAGCACATTATAGATGTAAGCTATTGGAGCCCAGCAAACATGACATTCTTTGAAGCCACTTTCAGAGGGATATTGTCATTAGGATGTGAGGTCTTTCAGGGTTAACTGTGTGTGCCAGTGAAAATCTGCACACTTAACGCTTTGACTGCCCTGACCTTCCCAGCTTCTGGTAACATTTTAAAGCAGATTTATTTTAGGACTATATTCTAATCTGGAATATTCAGTGCATCCCTTAAAGGGCAGGACATTCTTATGGGTTGTAAGTGGAGCTTCCTTTTTTTTTTTGTTGTTGGCTTTTTCTAGAGACATAGAACCTGGTCTGCTAATTATGAGACATCTGGAATTCTTGTTCACATCAGGGTAAATTTAGAATATGCATCAGTGGCAGGATTCAATCCAAATTAAAACCAATCATGTATGTCTCTCTCTAAACTGTTTCCTCGTTGGGTAGTAAAGTCGCATATCTAGTATCTAGTTCTGAAATCCTGAAAGATGGCTAGCCTACCTTTGAAGAAATGCTTCCCATAAGGCCCTCAGACTCACAAAGCTCGTGAAGTTGTTCCTAGTAAACATACTTGTGGCTAAGCAGGGGATGGAGATCCTTTCATCTGTTGGGAAATTTACTTGCTCGCCTTTCTCCCAGGGATTCTTGATGTAGTCACTGGACTAAGCAATGACTTACCGCTTTAGAAGTCAGTGAGAGCAAGGCCCTGGTGGCTCATACCTATCATCCCAGCTGCTGGAGAGGCTGAGATCTGATAAATTTCAAAGCCAGCCTGACAGATGAAGCTGAGAAACTCCTATCTCCAGTTATCTAGCAAGAAGCCAGAAGTCGAACTATGGCTCGAGAGATGGAGTGCCAGACTCAAGCAATAGCTACCAGGCCTTGAGTTTAAGCTCCAGGGTATACTCTCTCTCTCTCTCTCTCTCTTTCTCTCTCTCTCTGGGAGGGAGGGAGGGAGGGAAGGAGAGTGGGAAGAAGGAAAGGAAGGGAGGAGAAAGAAAGAAATCAGACAGAATAGTCTTGTTTTTCAGGGAAAAAAATATGCTGGAAAAGACTCACCTGAAAGATGGGTTTGGTTTTTTTGTTTTTTTTAAAGAACAATTATAAAGGCATATCAAGGGAAGTTTTTAGTTATATTACTTTTCAATGTAAATGTAATCATTCTTCCTGGAAAGAATTCCTCCAGATTTTCAAACTTGAATAAATAATGTAAAGTCACTATTTAAACTACTGTTTGCTTTTGAACATTTTATCTCAAAGGAGCTAAATGGCTTTGTTGCTCATGTGGGAATGGAAATTAGCTCTTGGCATGGACCACTTTAATTGAAATCAGTTTGTGGGCTGAGTTCCTATGCTGCCTGACAGATGACATCATTTCCTGTACTTTCCCAATGCGCACTATTTTTCTAAGATAGTATGAGGCTAAGTATAATTTCCAGTTTTAAAGCAACTATACACCTTTTCCTGACCTACTTAGAATATTATTCCAAGTTTTCGCCAAATCATTTTGTTTTCATTGTAGACTTGTAGATAATCTTTTAGTTAAAGCTTTTTGGCTGAGATATGTTAATGGAATTGTAGGAGCCTAAAATAACTGTTTGAATGGATTTCCTGAGTTGCTCAATTTTTGGAACAAAAGCCTTATTTCTGTTTTCAGACATGGAGAAAAAGATAAAATATTTTTAAAATAGTGATCTACCCTACAGTGTCTATGGATTTAGAATACAATGAACAACTTGTGGAGGCTAGCCTTTGATGTCATTATCCGGTTTTGTGTGTTGAGCACCTGCATACGTGCAAGGTGTCTTAAAGTTTAAGGGATGTAAGTAATAATCATGAATCTCCCTACTCCCAAATAGTTTTCAGGAAGGTATTTCTGGGATAGAAGAAGTGATGACCGTTTGTAGAGAGTTCAAGAGAAATGTAAATGACTCTTCCAGGAAAGAGGGTTCTGGTGGGGCTTGGGAGGGAAGAGAGAAGAGCAAGTCAGCAAAGAATAAAAGAGGCAAGGGAGGGGGGAATGGATTTTAGTACTTGGTGAGAACTGTGTTGGGGGATAAAGACTTAGAGCAAAGAGGCAGACAGGACTTAACAAGAGGATTCCACGAAGAGATGAGCATAGAGTGCCTGACATTTTGCATGATACAGAATAGATATTCAGAAATACTTGTGGAGGGAATGAAGGAAGGAATGCTAGGTGGATCATGGGACTGAGTCTTGGGACATAATGTTTCAAACACTGAGGGTCTCCATGAGTTTAAAGTTACAATTTAAGCTAGAGCCTATCCAGTCTTGTTATTACATGCCTTCCTAGGTATTTTCTTTTTTTTTTCTGCCCCTGAAAATTTCTTTTAACAAACTTCCATGGAACTTATGACTCTCTTTTCTCCTGGCCACCTAGTTTGGACTCTAAATCTTTTCCTAGGAAAATTATTACCCTCGTAATCTTGTCTCATATGATTGCTCTTGACACTATTTTCTCATCAGGTTAAATTACAGGAATGACATTGAGCTGTTAAGTTCTGCTAAATTAGTTGCCTAACACTGTTAAATGCCAAGAAAAAACGATATTGCACTGTAAATGGCTTGATACATACATTAGACATAGTTAGCATGGTTAATTAGGACATTTCTGCATACGTGTATGAATCCTGGTAAATCATTTTATCTTCTCTTCAAATAACTAAAACTCAGCTCCCGTGAACTGTTACAAGCTATGCATTGAAGTTGCAAAAATAAATCCTCCTTTCTCTTTCTTTTCCCTTCCCTAAGTACAACACTGTAATATTCGCTGTATGAATGGCGGCAGCTGCAGTGACGATCACTGTCTATGCCAGAAGGGATACATTGGAACTCACTGTGGACAACGTAAGTAGGCCATGGTTGTAAGCATGGGGGATGTTAACCTACATAAAACATGGACACATAGAAGGAGATGAGGGCTGATTTTCCTTAATCACCTGGGACCCAGCGTTTTGACCTGAGATGAACAGATCACGTCTCCCACACATTAAGCAGCCACTTTTCACTGGCAATGTTGATCCTAAGTCATTGGATGCATTTGCCTTTCATCTTCCCTCACCATCGGCTTGCTTCATGCCTTTGGTTTGTAGTCACCACCCAAAGTAAAGAATTCCTGTTCCGTTCATTCGCTGGCCTGCTCCACCTGGATGTGCAAAACTTGACCTCACCTTTCTCTGTAAACATGTCTTTCCTCTTGACGGATGAATGGTGTCTGCGTCTCTCTGGTCTCCCAAACTAGATTCCATCATAGAAATTATATGTGGAGAAGGTGTTCAGAGTGACGCCTTTTCGTTTTTTACATTAATCACTTTTTCCTACAGGTGCTATCCCTCTTTTAATTTCTCAGTGTTTACCTTACCAGTAGTCTTATGGAGCCTGTTAAACACACTCCGTTGGCTCTTTGTCACAGCGCTTGAATGACAGAATGGCAGTCTTAAGGTTTTGTGCTTTGCAGTTAATGGTATGATTTCTAAAATGGTAACATCAGTAGAAACAGTGTATCCCTTAGGCGAGCCCTCAAGAAATTGAACAGAAATGATGGCCAACAGTTGGACTGTACTCCCCTCCCACTGATGCCTCTTAGCAAGCACCACATTAGATACAGAATCACAGGCTTTGTTCAGGTGCTGTATGTGATGAGTCCTTCAGGTTTAACACATAAAAGTGCAAACTCACCTGTTCAGGCAGCTTTACCTGACTGAGAGTTGTACCCAGATTAATAACTAACTGTACAATTATTGTTCAAAGCAAGTACTGGGTAATGACTCAGATTTTTACTGTCCTCCTGTGCGTGGGCCTGAGTGTTACCTCATTAGATTATTCTCTGCCTTATAGCTGTCTGTGAAAGTGGCTGTCTCAACGGAGGGAGATGTGTGGCTCCAAATCGGTGCGCGTGCACGTACGGCTTCACTGGACCCCAGTGCGAAAGAGGTAAGGCTTTTGAACTCATTGGTGTGAAGTCATTCTGATGCTGCAGTCCTCTCTGACTTCTACAGGTGTTGGGTCTGCACACCGCTTCATGAATTCTGCTGAGTTTTAAGGACTTTGAATTGCCCCGGGGAAGGTGTCCAGGATGCCAAGAGTGTCCATGAGTCTGTGCCCGTTAATCCCGGAATCCTTGCCAGTTGAATGCAGTACTCTATAAAGAACTTAGATGTAATTATCTGTTGGCATCAACCTAAAAAGAGGAGAAATTTCCCTAAGGGTGAAGAGTGAGCTTTTCATTATTCAAGTAAGTTAGACAAATGGTTCCCAACAAAACTCAGGTATGGAAAGGGAAAAGTTGAGCATGAAAACTACACCTAAAAAGCTCTGGGATCTGTTGGGAGCTGATATGATATACAAGCTCTAGCATTCACAGTTCATCCTAGAGTTAGTGAGTATCTACTCAGTAGTGGCTTTTAAGGGAAAGATATACAAGCACCTATACTTAGCTATATGAAAAGACTAATATCCACGAACGTCCCAAAAGCCACACAAGTAATAAAAAGCTTTAATTTGAATGGGAGATTTCTATTGGCAAATCTAGTACCCACTGCTGCTCCGAACTAAAAGAAACAGTTTACATGATCTACCAAAAGAGCAAATGTGATCATTGAAATAAACATGATATGCAGTAGTCTTCAACCTTTTTTTTTAATTTAATTTAATTTTATTTGTGAACATACTGTACAGAGGAGTTACAATTACATGGGCAGGATAATGCATACATTTCTTACCAAGCATTGCAGCCTCCTCCTTTGTTTACCCTTCACATCCCTTCCCAGCCTCCCCCCCCCCCCCCAATCCCAATCCTTCTCCTTCCCCCCCCCTCCCCCCCCCCCCCACCGACGTTGTAAAGCTCGTTTTGGACATGACAACTTGTACTTCTCATTGTTGCAACAGGTCCACCTGTATCCTTAAACAACTGGTTTTTCCCCATCTCCTCCACAAGTTATACTGACATCAAATATAGTGAAAGCAGGGGTTACTAACTTTGAATTTGTGTGTTTATTCAGTGCAAGTACCATGGCTTGAACTCAGGACATTCTTGCTTATCTTGCTTACTTTTGGCTGGTGTTCTACCGTTTGACCCATGCTTTCAGTCTGGCATTTTTTGCTGGTTCATTGGAGATGGAGTCTTAGGGACTTGTCTGAGGAGGCTAGCTTTGAACTATGATCCTCTGGATCTCCTGAGTATTTGGGATTATAGATGTGAGTCATTGGCGCCAGTCTTGAACTTTCAATTTATTAATCATCTCATCTCTACGCTCATGGTCATTTTCTCATCATTCCTGGTTTTACAGTGAAGTTTTAGAAGGTTCACTGAAATTGAAAAATACTCAGGAACATTTAAAATGGCAATTACTATGGTTATACAAAGTTTTATAAAGAAGGATTTTCTTATTTTGAGATGGAGGATAAAGATTAAGTAGCAGATGTTCTCAATATATGTCATTTTAAACATACAGCTGAGAAAAACAAAGAGCAGAGTGGTTTGTAAGGGAGGTGGAAATTGTATATTTTCTCTTTATTTCCTCAAGTTCACCCAAATTCTGTTATTTTCTATTGAAGCACCAGTACAAACAAGCAAGTACTTGGCAAGCAAGTCTAGGTCAACTATAATTATTACTGGATTTATACTGTAGTATATTGAATTATATTGTGTTTCTGTTGATAAAACCACTCCAGGGTATTTCTGTGTGATGAAGTATAATGGTCTTGGTGATTGAATTGCATGTTGGCATCTTCTGGAGTCCCTCCTTAAACTGTTTCTCTTTGCAGTTTGTGCACATATATTTTTTTATTAACTTGGAGCTAATATACATCCAGAGTAATAAAATAAACTGTTTCTAATAAGGTAGTATCAGACTATGGCTTTCTTGTTGGCTCAGGGAAGATATGTTAGGAGATTAAAATGGTGCACATATATCTCTAAGAGTAGTTATGTGAAAATAATTTCTCAAATGTAATGCTGACTTCAATTCGTCTTTGAAGAACCATTAATAACATTAAGTGATGGGGCATTTTACTCATAATGGAGTTGTGAATACTGTGAAGAATGTTGATACCTGTAGTTCAGGTATTGATGATGCAGCCTAGTAAAATAAAGAGGATCTGATTTTCAATCAGTTGAGAGTTATTATTTCGCCCAAGCTTAAAACTGAGGTACATGGGTTAGGGCTTTTTAAAGTTCTTATAAAAACTGTATTACTGCTAGGGAAGTTAACTGCTCCTCATGGAGAAAGACTATCCTAAAATCTTCGCCACGATATAAATGTAGGCTATTCCATAGGGTCTTCACAGTAGTGATTAGAGCACTGAAATTGATGTCTTAGAGACAGATTTCCAGGTACTTGAAATTGTGTTTGAGAGCAGGAAATACACTTTGTTTTGTCCAAGTGTTCTACCCCTGGGCAAAGCTCTGGCCTGCAATGGGAGAAGAGAGAAATGATGTTCTTTCAGTCTCACCACACAGAATCCTTTCAATTTCAGAATCGCATTTCTAGTTATTGAATTCCACACTGTTTTTACTTTTGCTCTTATGAAAGCCATCTGTTTTACCTTTTCAAAGAATGAGACAATATATCCTCTTATCAGATGTGTGCCTGTGATTGCACAAGTGATGTATAAGGGTGTGGAATCAAGTCAGGACAAATCCACTGAGGAGCATGGGAAGTATTCTGCATGATGTGGCTTTGTATGGCTGGATAACTACCAATGCTAGTTTCAATCAAGTTCTCTCTCTCTCTCTCTCTCTCTGTCTCTCAGTCTCTCACTCTTTCTCTCTCTCTCAGTGGCCTTTGCCATTTAAAAATGAACTTCACAGAAACCTTTGCTGTTTTACCTTCTGCGTTCCCCCTTGGCTCTTTCTACACCCCTTCTCTTTACCCTTCTCTCCTTCCCTTCCTTTTCCCTCTCATCTCCTCTCTACCTATTTATTTTCAGTAAATTTCATTTTTTAAAATTTTTATTTTTTGTGAAAATACTGTACAGAGGGGTTACAATTACATGGGCAAGATAATGAGTACATTTCTTATCAAACATTGCAGCCTCCTCCTTTGTTTACCCTTCACATCCCTTCCCAGCCTCCCCCCCGCCCCCCCACCCAATCCCACCCACCTTCCCCCCCATCCCCAGTAAATTTCATTTTTGAGCAGTATTAGGTTTACAAAAGAAATTGAGTACCAAGTACAGACAATTCTCCATGTGTCTTCTTGCTTTCTATCCCTAGTGCTTCATATTAAAAACTTGCATCAGTGAAACACTTTTTTGTTTTTTTTTGCTGGAACTTGACGAGTCAGTATTGATACATTACTAGTGAAAAATCCTTGTTTTACATAAGGAATGCACAGTTCTATTGGTTTTGACAAATGCATGGGGTCACGTATCCTCCATCACACTTCCACACCCTTTTGTACAACACTTCACGTGCCATACTGAAATCTCAAGTTTCCATTTCCCTTGCTAGAGTGCAAGACCACGAGCAAGTACAGTCACATCATCATTTCAATTCCCACACCAAGCTTACGGTCTCATGCTCTGCAGATGACCTTTAGAAGTTATACCAGATTAAGTTCATACCATCACAACAACATGGAAATATAGTTGTCAGGTATGGACACTCATCACTTGGAAATAATTGCTCTGATCCCATTTCTGGGCAGCCAGGATATTGTCACTGGTTTCATGCCAAGTGGAGCTCATCACTGTGGATTCTAAGTGCATTTGACCTGATCTTGGAGAAGTATGATCTCTCAGGGCCATGCCACGGCCAGTTTTTATTTGTCAAGGATATACAATAGTGCTGCATTTTCACCAATACCAAGTGGCACTAGAAATAAAAACAAATTCCTATCATGATGTAATATCTATGATTTAGAATCTCAGTGGCAAGGACGGCTCAGCTCGGGGATAAGCATCTTTGTCCCCTGGAGATCATGAATCTCTCACACATCTGTGGCGATGTCAGAGATGCAATGCAAGTGTGAAATTTCCCTTGGGGGTGATACTGGCAACCTTTGGATCTCTGAATGCCAATAAGTGAAACCTAATAATCCATGAACTTAGCATTTTGACTTGTGATGGAGATCCAGGCTTGAATTATGGATCATACCAGTCATTGATGGTTATGAAACAAGTATCTCATTTGCAGCTATTAGCTACTAAAACAAATACATTTAAAATACAAATATATTGGCAAGTAGGACTCATTGGGTAGGTGACTATGAAATATCGTGTCATTTCCCAAGTCTCTCTGCACTCCAAAGAAGAAAAGTAGAAATCTGTGGCTTGTTTGGCCTCCAGTGTTTGCTTTATTTTTTTCAAGTGCATAGGAATAGCACTAGATACATTCTCCAGTTTGTCATAGTTCCCACAACTCCCTGTGGTCTCGTGCCCATCTAATTAAATTCATTTAGCTTGCATTGTGACCCTTGTGGGGCATTCAAGTTTGACACCTCCAGCGGTATGCTCTAGCAAAGATGATACTGCTTTCTGTTTACTTAACTTCAACTTTCTTTCATTGATGACCACTTCTAGTTGTTTTTTTTTCCTTACAAATTGATTGGGATGGTTTTCTAGTTGTCTCCTCTTCCCTTTTGCCTTCTTTCTCTTTGGACCTTGAGCAAGCAGTAGCTTAGCCTTAGCTCAGTGGTACAGTATGCTAGCACTCGTTATCAGCATAGTGAAATGAGGTCAGTGACTGTTTTTGCAATGACAACACCAGCAAAGTTGTGCGTTGCCATGGTTACTAGGAACACTATGTGAAATCAGACCTTCTCTTGCCATCTTACCTCAGAATGCAAGGCCATTAAAGATCTTGTAAAATGCTCTTGTATTAAACACAGTGAAGTCATGTGAGTGAGAAGGTCATGAATAAAGAGGTGGACTTGAAGCTGGAGGTGGGGTTGTATGATGATGGCAGGCCAGGGATGTGGAGAAACAAAGAA